CGCTCTACAAAATATGTTAAAATAGGTTCAGTGTATTGTCTGCACTTTGTGATCTTTCAAAATCCTACTGAATACCTTATAGTATTTTTCACCTGACGTCTTTAATTTTTTGTACTTTAATGGCAAATATAAAAAAAACAGCCTATAGTTTTTCGTTATTATACAAAAAACAACTCCAAAGAATCCTTGCTATCCAATCCATTCATAGCCCGCTGTTAGTAGAGTAGAAAAAAATTCACCTAGAGGGCAGAATCTTACCCACGTTCATATGCTCAATGTTCTTCTATAAGGAAGGCCATCTTACATAGAAAATAATTGAGGTGTTAAGATCTTCGTGTATACTAGGCTATGAAACCCTCGAAATTCACCAAACAGTTGTGCGAAGACTAAAAAATTTTGGGTGACCCCTCGAGATTGCTTAGAATTGTAGGTTATTCTGGTGCGAACCCTCGGAATGGGGATGTTTTAAGGGGAGGACTCTGTGGTTAAGATTTTAATCATAGGAAAAGTAATTTATCTGTAATTATACCCCCTGACATACTGGATAAAATAGCTAAGAGTATCCCTAGTTAAGCGGGATAAAAATGGTCAAATTACAGCAATTTGTTAAACGTGAAATTAACTCAATAATATTTCGCACTTCATTTTGTTCATTGCAGTCTGCATTTCTTCAATGTAACTTTGTCTATCTGCCTGTGCCAAGTGCAAGGCAAGCCTAAGCTGATTATACTCAGCTTCTCTTTCCGCCATAATTTCGGCATCATTTTCTTGTTCTTTGAACGGCATTCTTGCGAAGAACACGGAAACCAAAAATACTTTCAAAAGTACGCCAGGGACGGCAACAATTTAAAAGTTGTACTACAGCTAGGTGCAATAATCTTAAAGTCGGAACAGGTGTGATACATGTTTTATTTTCCTCATCCGCTGTGTACAGTTTAAACTACACATGGAGCACCTAATAGTTTCGTATATTGACAGTGGTTACGCACGTTTCGCAAGCGTTTGAAAGTCGAATGCAACTTGCAGACATGGGGCAATTGCAGTGTCAGCATCAACAATCCTTATCAAAGTGGTGGTGTCACATGAATGATTTTTGAAAATCAAGTTGCACTGCCAAAACTTATGCATATATGACCACAGGTAAAAGCCGGGACTTGAAGTCTGATGAATCTGACCGAATAGACTTTGCTCATTTTCTAAATGAGGCTGCCGCCTCTTCCTCTCTTTTTCAGAATACACCCCTCTTTCCGAATTGCAGCCCCGAACTCCGTAATTCAAATGCATTCTTGCATGACAGAACTGTGAATACGAACCCGTTCGTGGAGTTTTATCTTCCGTCATTTGTCCTTCTAGTCAGTATAGTGTATCAAAGTGATGTCGTTGTGCCAAACCATTCGCCTTCCTTCCGTTTGCCTACTACACAGGAAACTAAAGGACAACAAACGGGGCCTCCCATGGGTGAAAGAATTTGGAGGGAGTCACCATCGGTGGAGTGGGTCAGAAACGGAGGACAAAATAACCGGGTAAATGTTGCAAACCACTGACATGCTGATAAAAGTAGGTCTTCTGTCGGGCCTAGGGAATGGCAGGATTCGAATCGTAAGCGAAGATACTAGTCGGTGAGCAGGAAGAAAG